GGTGGTAAGCCTCAGGACAGGTGTTTTCAAGATTTCCTGTGTGGGGATGGACCTACGGGAAATGATTCCTCACACAGATAGAGATTGTCTTGGAGTGTTTGGCGAGTCAGCCTGTTCACGATGAGGCCTAGCAAGTGCACATCTCATTTTTGTCACATATGTGTCTACATACAAGAAACATCTTGTCTTTCCTAGATGTGCCTCAGCAGGAGATGATGGCCTCATTTTGGTGTGGAATATCGAGGTAATATTTTGCAAATTCATTATTTCTGCATTTTGTGAATTGCACAAAACATAGTGGCGCTAACTGCTTTTTTTTTTAATGCTTTTTTTGTTGTCCGACTGTTAGACCGGCGAGAGGCTGCAGGAGCTGAGGGGCCATTCCCAGCAAATAACAGCCATAACCACCTTCACCTGTAACAATGGCGTCACTTTGCTTATCACAGCATCGTCTGACAGGAGTCTCAGCGTATCCTCATATCAGATGAGCCCTACATTTACACACACACTAAAATCTTGTTTGTGATTCTCCTTTAACCTCATTTATCAGTTGTGGGACCCTGATACTGGCAACAGGGTTCAGACCATTTCAGATCTTCAGTCTTCTGTAAAGGTAATTGCCCAAATTTGAATTTTTTTCCATATATGCAATTGTAAATAAAAACAATGTAAATTAAAAACTAGTCAAAGTTTAGAACAGGCTTACCTAAACCAAAATATGTTAATTTGAACATTAGGTATTTTCTCTTTGTACTGTTACCAAATTAAGACAGGGTAAACATTTCATTTTGTGTTTATTTACACAGTCTCCCAACTCTTAAGGAATTGGGGTGATACACATGTGGCTCACATTTCTAAAGGTGTGCTTGTCTGAAATGCATCACACAAATATTTTGTTATCTTTAGCGATCAAAAACTGAAAGTAGTTTGGCAGAAAACGGTTTCTTTGTAGTAAGTATAGCTGCAGAATCAGTGCCTCATACATTTTAACAGAGGACACCTACAGTATGTCTTGGTCCTTCACATGAAATTGTCCTGGATATTAGTCATGTCATGCAACTCTGGGCAATTATGTTTGTGTTGGAAAGAAATGTAATACTAATTAAAGCTTGACGCCAAAGGTTGTTACGCCAGGTTTAATTTAAGATAAAAATGGTTAATTGCCTTCTCTTGGTCATAGATTAGGGTTAATTGAAGCATCTATAAGCTAATTATATTTCATTTCTTTCCTTCTACGATGTTTTGTGTGCATGTCTAAATTTAAACAATAGCTCCTACTTTTCACGTGCTAAACCGACTGCGTGTGTGTCAGTGTTTGCTGGTGCTGGAGCGGCTGTGCGTGTGGGTCTCGGGTGGGGAGGAACTGTGCGTCTGGAGCAAAGACTTCCAGCTGCAGTGCCACAGACAGAACCACAGCGACACTGGTAAGGAGAAGAAAAGACAAAATCTGATCTCACTTGTTGACCGTTGCACACAGACTGATGAAAGTTGTCGTTGTGTCCGGATGTTTTGTAGGAATAACCGCTTTGACAGAGCTGCCCAAGAACTGCATAGCAGCTGCTATGGATAAAGAGATAGGTAATAGAATGTTCCATATTAAGTGTCTGTGTCATGCATAAATAGAAGAAAACGAATCTTTACTTCTTCCTCGTTGCAGTCATCTGCCGGGTGACAGTGTCTCCCGATTCCTCTGTGTCACTGGATGAAATCCATTGTCTGTCCAACCACCAGGACCAGATTCGAGCTCTTATCAGTGTCAACGGTCAGTCTCTTTGGGGATGTTCTGAAACTTAAAATCAGCAACTGCATTTGACTTTTGATGTAGAACTGAAAGGTGCATGCATCATATGAACCATGTTGTGGTTATTTCCTCAGATGAACTCTTTGCGAGTGGTTCCCATGCGGGTGAGCTGATCTTATGGGACGCGACTGAGTGGACCATGCTGGCCTATCAGCACATCCTGTGGGAGGAACCACAAGCCTCCTCTCAGGCTGAAATATGACTGGGTGCTCCCAAACCCAGTGAAATGTCCATTCAGCATCTGACCACCAATGGAAAGGTGAGGCAGACGAAATGAATGCCTACTGTGTGTTAGTTATCATGGACATTTGGATGTTGCTTTGTTTGTGTGATCCATGTGATTCATGTTTGTGTTTTGTAGCTCATCCTGGCAGCCGTGGGCAGTGGTCTATATGTGTACAGTGTTCTGACCAAAGCTGTGGTGGCCTACAGGAAGGCGGCACATGATTCTAACATCTTACATACCATGCTGCTCTCTGACAGGTAATACACCGGACAGTTCCTGTCCCTAACATGCATTATAAAATCTGTGGCTTAGCAGATATAGTAGTGTTAATGATAGAAGCTTAGCCACATTGAACAAATCATTCTACACTTGTGATCCTGTGCCATGCGCTGTATAGCTCTACCTGCTGTGACCAGTTTAACCAGTGACTTGATTTTGGTTTCTCTTTATCACAATAGCTGTAGACTAAAGGAAAGTCTAAAATGATAGATGTAGGTTTTGTGTAGCACACATCTTTTCTGCTTTCCTCTTCTGTGAATCACCATGGAAAGCAGATTTATCTTCTGGGTCGGAGCCTCCCAATTTTCATCCACAGTAAACAGATACAGCACAGAAAAAGATCAATACCAATTTGTCCTAATCTTGGTTTTAAATATTTTTTTATTAACAAAAGATACACAAGATATCAAACAGTGACTGGTAGCATTTCTTCCCTTTCTGTAATTCATATTTATGTATAGTTCGGTGTACAATTCTAAGCTTTGTCTCATTCCAAACATCCCAGAGAACAGATAATCCAAACAAACATCGGGATCTAGGCAGAAGCAGGAGTCTGGGTACAGAGCACATTGTATCCTAGTCCAACCAGCATCTAGGAACAGAAGAGCTCGTTAACTGTTACTGAACCAGTTGATAGACTAAATTGTGGGAGTGCCATTGTCTCTGTTTCAGTGAGCTGATTTCCTGCTCTGAAGACGGCAGTGTGAGGATGTGGGAGATCCAGGACTTGCCTTTGCCCGCTGAACCAGCCTCTCCAGGTGACACACAAACATACAAGGTCATGTCTGACCTCAGGTGTCGCAGTGGTGACAGGATGATAAGTAGTTCACATAGGCTATACCGACCTGCAGACATATGAAGAGGTGGGCCTTTACTTCTCTGTACAGAGGCAACACAAAAGTTGTTAAAAGTGAACGTAGAATTAGTTTAGAAAAACACTTCCTATGGTGGCCCATCGTTGACTGTACATGCCATCACTGACCAACACTAGAGTGTTAAACTATGCAGCCCAGTTTAGGATAAAAGGTTAGTTTTGGTTTGTGGGGAAGGAAGCATTAATGAATAACCTACAAATGTTTTAATAACCCTATTAGTTTCAGCATGTAAATCCTGTAGTGATCAGAAAGTGGTACCCAAATAAAAATTATAAATATTAAGTTCAGACACAGGTGTTTGGTTCCCCTCCTGCTCTGACAAGCTGCTGTTTTCCCACATCTGTCCCCACTGAAGCAGCAGCAGCGCCCTCTGGTGTCTGTAGAGAGGTTACACCACCTGGTATTCCCAGGTGGTGTCCCAGGCCTGACCCTGCTTAGCTTCTGAGATCAGTTGAAATCTGGCGTTTTCAGGGTGGCGTGGCCACAAGCGTGAGCATTACTGACAAATATAGTATTTGTATGTGGTGATTATTTCATATACTTTTGTTTTTTATAGTCACATTGGGGTCTTTTTATTTCTGAAGTAACTGATTACAGTTAACAGACTAATACAAACTAGTATAGTGTCAGAATGTGACTGTTTTCTTCATTACTTTACACAAGTATTTTGGTTTTATTCTGCTTAAACTTCTGCTCAACTATTCCACTCTATTAATCGTACATCTCCAACGTAATCAGTCCAATAGTATAATGAACAAAACAGACACACTCCGACAGCATACTAGTTTGTATCACTAGTTGGTAGGTAAACTACTTGACTGTAATCAGTTATTTCTGTAGAAATAAAAAAAAACTCAGTGGCTTTATGAAGACACTGGAGAATGCCATAATCATCATGTACAAATACTACATTTGTCAGCTGTTCTCTCACTTACAACCACACCACCCTGAAAAAGAGTGGGGCCTGGTTAGTACTTGGATGGGAGACCACCTGGGAATACCAGGTGCTGTAAGAGGTTAGTACTTGGATGGGAGACCACCTGGGGATACCAGGTGCTACCAGAGGGCGCTGCTGCTTCACTTTAGAGCTCTGAGAAGCTGTTTGACCGATAAATATAGGCGGGTCCAACGTTTTACTCCGACATGTAGCCAGTGGTGGAAAGTAACTAAGTACATTTACTTAAGTATTTTTACTTTGTGCTACTTCATACTCTGACTTCACTATATTTCACAATCAAACCAATAAAAACTAAGTGCAGTACATTATAAGAAAGACCCAATTGATCCCTGATTCACAAGCTACCCAGCAGTAGAGTACTTCAAATGTTAAGTATATAAGGTAGTTAACGTTGGCTCCACCTTTACACAATAATATATCAGCATAATCTAAAAATATGATATATATTAGTGTGAAATGTGCCATTCTGCATAGTGAGTACTTGAACCTTTAAGTACATTTTGTAACAGAATAGGCTAAAGTAGCAAAATGAGTACTTTTTCACCACGACCCGATTCTGTACTAATGTCTGACTTCACCAAAAGTTTAATAATGAAGTTTGACTTTCATTAACTTGTTGCTGTCTACTTCAGCACATTAATTAAAGGTCAGTTCACCCAGTAGAAATAGAAAAATCTCACTTACCTTTAGTACTGCTTAATTGCTGATTGGAGAAACAATGGGCCAGTCAGGGATTTGGACAAATGAGGATGTCACCCTCCTGCAACAGTTAGAGGTAGAAATTACAAATCAACTTGCTGATTCAACATGCGTTGTTTGTCCATGTTTTTCACAGTTAAGTGACTGTGTAACCATTAAATGCACTTTGCTCCACCTTTACTAGCTGAAACATTAAACTAATACACATTCATTTTAAATGTGCAATTTCTACATAATGGTTACTTTTGGTACTTGATGTACTTTTACACTGTGATGTTAGTACTTTTATTTAATTGAGCCCTTCCTTTCTGTCCATCTAACCAGGCTTCTTTGCGATCTGGAATTTTGGCCGCTTAAACAAACACAGTGGTCCGTCAAAGAAGGCCGTGGACATCCCCAACGTCAGGACACTGGCATTGACAGGAGATCTGATCGGGCACTCCGGGGCAGTCCAGGTGCGATTCCATGATATACAAACTTGCACTATGATCTGTCTCAAAATGGTGTCACCATAGTGTTTTAATAATTCCTTTGTGCTCCTGTCAGATGTTTCTGAGCTTCAAGGAGAACGGTCTGGTCACATGCTCGACAGATCACCTGCTGATTCTGTGGAAGAACGGAGAGAGACAGTCCCACCTTCGCAGCTTGGCACTTTTTCAGAAACTGGAGGAGAATGGAGGACTCTGACCTTTAACCCTTGAGGCGCTGCCTTTAAAAAGGAGAGATAGTTGGTTGTTAATGCCACAGATCATCTGAATTTACTGTAAGGACACTTGTTTGCATTTACCGATAACGTAACAGTTGTTTGTCTTTTCTATAAAAGCAAGTATTTAACTTAAAGGATAACTTCAGGTTGCTGTATGTCCCCTAAAAAGTGGGTTAAAGGGTGTCAGAGGGGCAGCCAGTTAGCCTCAGATAGCTTTTTCTCTGAGACAGCTAGAAAGCAGATATAAAATATCGATCGACCGGTCATCTCATCAGCTGGCGAGTTGACCTGGACACATGGTCTTGGTCTTATCCTTGTATAGCGCCTTTCTGTGCTTTTACAGCACACTCAAAGCGCTTTCACATTATTCGGCCATTCACCCATTCGCACTCCCAAGCACTCACGCATTCACACACTGGTGACATCACCGGGAGCAACTGGGGGTTCAGTGTCTTGCTCAAGGACACCTTGACATGTTGACTGGACAAGCCGGGAATCGAACCGCTAATCCTCCAGTTAGGAAACGACCCGCTCTACCTCCTGAGCCACAGCCGCCTCCACCCACATGTTGCTATGCAGTTAGCAGTAATGGCTACTGGATCTGCTTTCCTTCTGACTCATATGAGTGAGAATTGATTTGACTGAAACCACATTTATTCGAGCAGTCTGAGGATAACCAGTTGCCCTGGTGATACTGTTTAACTTTTCATTTCCCTGAATCTCTACTACAGAGGTAGTGATAGCAAAATCAACCTGAGCTATAATGTCACCATACCCACTTAGAGGGGAAACACAGCAGGGAAAGTCCACCCAAGTTATCCTTTAAATTTGTAAACTCACAGAAACAGACAACCTGGAACATTTTTTTTCCAGCCTAAAGTGTTTGTGTGTATTTATTATTAAAGTCATAGCTGAAGGTATTGTTGTACAGGGAGGCAGCAGCGCCCTCTGGCGTCTGTAAAGGAGTAAAAGCTTACAGCACCTGGTATTCCCAGGTGGTCTTCCATCCAAGTACTAACCAGGCCCAACCCTGCTTAGCGTCTTGAGATCAGACGAGATCGGGCATTTTCAAGCTGATGTGGCTGTAAGCGCGTTTTAAAGATGATCTATCATCATGTATCACCACTTACTATGTAAACAGCTTTTTCATGCTGTAGCTGGTGGAGCAGAGCTACAATTAATTACTTACTTCAACTAGTGGAGTACAAGAGTAGAAGTTTGAGCAGCATAAAACCAAAACACTCGTGAAGTAAGGAAGAAAACAGTCACATTCAGACACTAATAGTTTGTATCATTACTGGGTAAACTGTTTGTAACTTAATAAAAATACCCCACATCTCTATAAAAATAAACAGAGATACATGAATCACCAACCTCTACCGGTGAAGTAGTTCTCCTGGCTGGCCTGGGAACGCCTTGGGGTTCCTCCCGAGGAGCTAGAGGAGGGAAGTCGGGGGGGGGGGGCGCGCGCCCGCCACA